CAAGTCGGTTCCAATGTCTGTTGTTCCCCTCCTTGTATCCATGTGTTCTCATCATTTAGGTCCCACTTGTAAGTGAGAACATGCAGTATTTGCTTTTATTGTTCATGTGTTAGTTTGCTAAAGATAATGACCTCCAGCTCCATCCATGTTCGTACAAAGGACATGATCCTGTTCTTTTTTATGTCTGCATAGTAATCCATGGCATATATGTACCACATTTTCTTTATCCAGTCTGCCATTGATGGGCATTTAGGTTGATTTCGTATCTTTGCCATTGTGAGTAGTGCTATAATAAACATACGCATGCATGTCTTAATGGTAGAATGATTTATATTCCTTTGGGTATTTACCTCATAATAGGATTGCTGGGTCAAATGGTAGTTCTCTTTTAGCTCCTTGAGGAATCACCACACTGCTTTCCACAGTGGCTGAACTAATGTACACTCTCACCAACAGTGTGTAAGGATTCCCTTTTCTCTGCAACCTCACCAGCATCTGTTACTTTTTGACTTTTTATAATAGCCATTCTGACTGGATGATATCTCACTGTGGTTTTGATTTGCAGTCCTCTAATGACCAGTAATACTGAGCCTTTTTTCTTATGCTTTTTGGCTACCTGTCTGTCTGCTTTTGAAAAGTGTCTGTTCGTGTCCTTTGCCCGTTTTTTAGTGGGGTTGTTTTTTCTTGTAAACTTGTTTAAGTTTCTTATAGATGCTGAATATTAGACCTTTGTCACATAATTTGCAAATATTTTCTCCAATTCTGTAGGTTGTTTACTCCATTGATAGTTTCTTTCGCTATGCAGAAGCTCTTAAGTTTAATTAGATCCCATTTGTCAGTTTTTGCTTGTGTCACGATTGCTTTTGGCATCTTCATCATAAAATCTTTGCCAGTTTTTAGCTAGGTGCATCATAAAATCTTTGGCAGTTCTTAGCTAGGTTAGCTCCCAGCACTTTGGGAGGCTAAGGCAGGCAGATCACCTGAGATCAGGAGTTCAAGACCAGCCTAGCCAACATGGAGAATCCCCATCTCTACTAAAAATACAAAAATTAGCCGGGTGTGGTGCTACATACCTGTAGTCCCAGTTACTCTGGAGGCTGATGCAGGAGAATTGCCTGAACTCAGGAGGTGGAGGTTGCAGTGAGCCAAGACCACTCCAACCTGGGCAACAGAGTGAAACTCCGTCTCCAAAAATGTATAATCAGTTCCTATCCTATGACCAGAATGGGTATTGCGTAGGTTGTCTTCCAGGGTTTTTATTAGTTTTAGGTTTTTAAGTCTTTTTTTTTTTTTTTTTTTAATGGAGTCTCACTCTGTCGCCCAGGCTGGAGTGCCGTGGTGTGATCTTAGCTCACTGCAACCTCCGCCTCCTAGGTTCAAGCAATTCTTCTGCCTCAGCTTCCTGAGTAGATGGGACTACAGGCACATGCCACCACACCTAGCTAATTTTTGTATTTTTAGTAGAGAAGGGGTTTCACCATATTGGTCAGGCTGGTCTTGAACTCCTGACCTCATGATCTGCCCACCTGGGCCTCCCAAAGTGCTGGGATTACAGGTGTAAGCCACTGTGCCTAGCCACAGTAAGTCTAATACATCTTGAGTTGAGTATAGAGTATTTTGTATAGAGTATAAGGAAAGGATCCAATTTCAATATTGTGTATATAGCTAACCAGTTATTGCAGCACCATTTATTGAGTAGGGCATCCTTTCCCCATTGCTTGTTTCTGTCAGCTTTGCCGAGGATCAGATAGTTGTAGTTGTGTGGCCTTATTTCTAGGTTCGCTATTCTTTTTCATATGTCTGTTTTCATACCAATGTACCATGTTGGTATTTGTTAGGGTTTTTGTTTTGTTTTGTTTGAGGTAGAGTCTCACTCTATCGCCGAGGCTGGAGTGCAGTGGTGTGATCTCAGCTTACCACAACCTCCACCCTCTGGGTTTAAGCGATCCTCCTGCCTCAGCTTCCCAAGTAGTTGGGACTACAGGCATGCGCCACCATGCCCAGCTAATTTTTAAATTTTTGTAGAGACGGGGTTTTGCCATATTGACCAGATTGGTCTCGAACTCCTGACCTCAGGTGATCTGCCTGCCTCAGCCTCCCAAAGTGCTGGGATTACAGGCATGAACCACCATGCCCAGCCCACCATGCTGTTTTGGTTACTGTAGCCCTATAGTATTGTACAGATCTTTAACCTTCCTGGTTACCTGGCCCTCCTAGGTATTTTATTTTCTTTTTCTGGCAAGGTTATTTATTTTTCTTTTTCTTTTTTTTTTTTGTGGGGGACGGAGTTTCGCTCTTGTTACCCAGGCTGGAGTGCAATGGCGTGATCTCGGCTCACCGCAACCTCCGCCTCCTCGGTTCAGGCAATTCTCCTGCCTCAGCCTCCTGAGTAGCTGGGATTACAGGCACGCGCCACCATGCCCAGCTAATTTTTTGTATTTTCAGTAGAGACGGGGTTTCACCATGCTGACCAGGATGGTCTCGATCTCTTGACCTCGTGATCCACCCGCCTCGGCCTCCCAAAGTGCTGGGATTACAGGCTTGAGCCACCGCGCCCGGCCCGGTTATTTATTTTTCAAATGACTCATTCATTTTCTACTAGTGTGAATTCCTTCTTCTACCTAGCCCCTTTCTTTTAACTTTAGGAATAGGTCCATCTACCGTGATTATATCTTCTCATCCACATTCTCTTCCATGTATAGTGGTCCCTCAGTATCAGTGGGGCCTTGATTCCAGGATATCCCCTGAATACCAAAATCCACAAATACTCAAGTCTTAGGTATAAAATGACATAGTATTTACATATAACCTATGCATATCTTCCTGTATACTTTAAATCATCTCTAGATTACTCATAATACCTAATACAATATAAACACTATGTAAATAGCTGTTATACTGTATCCTTTTTTTTTTTTTTTTTTTTTTTTTGAGATGGAGTGTGGCACCCTCACCCAGGCTGGAGTGCGGCACCCTCACCCAGGCTGGAGTGCAGTGGCGCAATCTTGGCTCACTGCAATCTCCACCTCCTGGGTTCAAGCATTTCTCCTGCCTCAGCCTCCTGAGTAGCTGGGACTACAGACGTGCGCCACCACACCCAGCTAATTTTTTTGTATTTTTAGTAGAGACAGAGTTTCACCATGTTGGCCAGGATAGTCTCCATCTCTTGACCTCGTAATCCACCTGCCTTGGCCTCCCAAAATGCTGGGATTACAGGCATGAGCCACTGCACCTAGCCGTTTTACTGTATTCTTTAGAGAACAGTGACAAGAGAAAAGTTTGTACATGTTCAGCACAGATGTAATTTTTTCCAAATACTTTCAATCCATGGTTGGTTGAATCCATGGATGTAGAACCCACCAATATAGGGTCCTGACTCTACTTGCTTTAGAACTGTTTTTTTTCCTGTGAAGTGAGGTATTCTACCCAGGAGGGAGCTCCGTGTTTCCAGGATTTCTCTTGGAGGTTGGAGGTGTTGTGTCATTTCAGCTGCTGGGTAATTTTAATTGTTTACAAAGAAACATTTCACTTTTTTTTTTTTTTTTTTTTGGTGGAGTTTTGCTCTTGTTGCCCAGGCTGAAGTACAATGGTGTGATCTCAGCTCACCGCAACCTCCACTGCCCAGGTTCAAGCGATTCTCCTGCCTGAGCTTCCTGAGTAGCTGGGATTACAGGCATGTGCCACTACACCCGGCTAATTTTGTATTTTTAGTATAGACGGGGGTTTCTGCATGTTAGTCAGGCTGGTCTCAAATTCCCGACCTCAAGTGATCCACCCACCTTGGCCTTCCAAAGTGCTGGGATTACAGGCATGAGCCACCGAGCCCGGCCACATTTCACAATTTATAATATCATGTTTGATGTCATGACAGTGATTTAAGTAAGCCTGTGCTAGATGTACTCAACATCTGTCTCTCTGGCAACTAGTCTAGATTTTAGCTTCTCCATGCAGGGCTAGTGTGAGGATACATATGGTTTGGAAATATGAAACATTTACAACCTGATTAGCTTCCTCAAGAATATGTTTTGCACCTGGGCGCAGTGGCTCATGCCTATAATCCCAGCACTTTGGGAGGTTGAGGCAGGTGAATCGCAAGGTGAGGAGTTTAAGACCAGCCTGGCTGACATGGTGAAACCCTGTCTATACTAAAAAATAAAAATAAAAAAGTTAGCTTAGTATGGTTGCAGGCGCCTGTAATCCCAGCTACTTAGGAGTCTGAGGCAGGAGAATTGCTCGAACCCGGGAGGCGGAGGTTACAGTGAGCCAAGATTGTGCAACTGTACTCCATCCTGGGCAACAGAGAGAGACTGTCTCAAAAAAAAAAAAAAAAAAAAAAATGTTTTGCCTGCAATCCCACCACTGCGAGAGGCCATGGTTGGAGGATTACGGGAGGCCAGGAGTTTGAGATCAGTCTGGACTACATAGTAAGACCCTGTTTCTACAAAAAAATTTAAAACTTAGCCAGGTTTTGTGGTACATGCTTATAGTTCTAGCCATTCTAGAGGCTGAGGCAGAGGATCTCTTAAACCCGGGAATTCAAGACTGCAGTGAGCTATGGACACACCACTGCACTCCTTCCTGGGTGACAGAGTGAGACCCTGTCTCAAAAAAAAAAAAGAATATAAAATAATATATTTTGATTGACTCACAAATTATGTTGTGTCCTGTGCATAGTAATAACTTAGGAATTTAGGAATGACAACATAACTCCTTTAAGTATGTTACACAAGGAAGATTATAGGAATACAGACTGCTGGGTAATTGTTTTTCAGATTAACAATGATATAGAAATAGGACCAAAATGAGGTTGGAACTGCTTAAGCTGCTGATAATGTGTAGTGAACAGCAGTTCTTCCTTTTGACCATGTTATCAGTTAAGATTCTTAGTTTATATTAGTAGCAATATTGTTGAGTCTTCCAAAATCATTGTTGAATCTCAGAGTTCATTCCCCCACTTATACCTAATCTTCTTGTTTTTGTATGTGTTCATTCATTTGTAGAGTATAAATGGCATTCGCACAGAGGAGGTGGCTGTCGTGACAAAGGGGCCATCTACTAACCCTGACTCTGAATGGGAGGGTCCCAAGCATTCAGTAGTTCCTAGTAAAAGCCAGATGACCACCCCGTCGGAGTCTCTGCAAAGCTTTGCCTTTGGCTCCCTCTCCATAAGCAGCAAGGAGGCAGAAGAGAAGGAGGAGGGGACAGCTGGCTATCTTGATATTAAGGAGATGCCAAAAGGCCCAACTGGGGAATCTATAGGAGTGGAGGAACAGGCCAGTGCCTTAAAGTTCTCAGGAACACCAGCTTCCTGTCAGCTACAACCTGGTGAAAAAAAGGCAGAGAGTAGTGGAGAACATGTCACACCAGGAGAGCCACTTGGAAAACAAAATGGATCATTTCTTGACTTTCATGTGGGTAACCAGTTCCAGTTCCCCACCCTCATTCGAAGTTTCCAGGTAGTAACTTACTCAATGATGCAGGTCTAATGACTGTCTTTGGAAAAGGGCCAGAATCTGTCCTGTGGAAGAGGTGGTGGTGGTGTGGTGAGGGTAGTGGCCTCCCTGCTGTTTTCAAAAGCACAGAGTAAAATTAAAGCCTTTGATTGTGCCAAAGAAATTCATTCAGAGCAATTAATTCCATGACCAGAAATGCTTTCTTCTCTAACAAAACTCCAGTTATTGGTCTTTGTGAAGCTGGTTAAGTGGGTTCATCTTTTCATTGCTCAAGTGTGGGCTTTGGAAAGAGGTGAATTGCAGTGACTTCTGAGGAGGCTTCAGTATTCTAAGACCATGCTCAAAAAATTCAAATACTCTTAATTAAAGGAGCAACTCATCTTCTTACGAGATTGCAGGCCCCAAATAATTTATGTACTGCAGCCACATTGTGCAGCCCACCACTCCCACCCAAGGGGCTTCTAGGATCCTAGGCACTGACTTCTTATGCTAAGGTGGTTGGCCACTTAACCTTATCCCACAATCAATTGGTAGTTTCAGGGTGATTTGTACTCCTGGGGAAAGTGAGCAGATGGATAAGGCGGCCTTTGATATTCCTCTAATGTTCATTCTTCTGAAATTCTGGGATTAATCACCAGGTGGTGGTTGAACTGATTTTTTTTTCTTTCCAGTTTTCCAAATACTGTCTCTTCTCAATAACTCCAAAGTGAATGTCTGACATTGATTTGAAAGAAGTTAATTAATCTGAGGGTAATGCGTTCCATTGCCACTGCTGTTTCATGTACCATTTGTGCTTAGTGGAGAAAATGTGGCTGATTTTCTTAATTATAATGGTACAGACACAAGGACAAATCAAAGTGATTGCTATTTGGCAAACCGTTTTACATTCAGATTCTGAAGGTCAGCCTGAAGTGTTTTATATCACCAATCATAACTGTCTGATCTTACAGCTTTCCATTAAGCTTATGAAAGTGATTATAGTAATGCTGTTTTTTAATATCCCTCATAATTTGACACCTTGTCAGGGTTGCTTTGGAATACTGTTGAAGTCTTGGGCAGGGTAAACACCTTTGGAGATTGAGCTAGCCCTTTACTTAATCAAAGCTAACACTTTGATCAGATCAGTGTCAGAAGATTACTTCTCCACTACCTTCAGAAACACTCTAGTAACTCTCTTTCCTTACTGCTTCACAGCCTCCCCTGGTGAAGACTCAAACTGTCACAATCTCAGATAATGCCAATGCTGTGAAAAGTGAAATCCCAACCAAAGACGTCCCTATTGTCCACACTGAGACCAAGACCATCACTTATGAGGCTGCCCAGGTAGGATATGGTTTGATGTTTCAGAACTAGACTGCAAACAAAATTAATAACCTTTCTTCACAGAGTTTCCAGTCATTTATCGCAAAGAATACCAGGTTTTGGGGGGGGCAGTTCTTTTTAGAAGAGATTAGTGGTCTAAGAATGTCCCAGACTACTTTATTTAAAGCAAAAAAATTGAACAGGGCACACTTGTGTGTGCCTGTAGTCCCAGCTACTCTGAGGCTGATGTGGGAGGATCTCTTGAGCCCAGGAAACTCCATCTGAAAAAAAATTTTTTGAAGCAAAATTGTCTTAGATCTGATTGTTTATATCCACCCAATTCATTTGCATAACACAGTCTAGTGTAATGGTTGAGAACGTGGGCTTTGGGTCCAAAAAAACCTGAGTTCATATCCTAGCTCCTCCATTTACTAACTTGGACAAGAAATTGAATATCTCTGAGCCTTGATCTCCCCTGCCGATGATGTTAATATCTACCTCATGGTGTTACGAGGATTTAAGTTTTTTTGTTGTTGTTGTTTTTTAAGTTCTTTTCTTTTTTCTTTCTTTTTTTATTTTTTTGAAACGGAGTTTCACTCACTCTGTCGCCCAGGCTGGAGTGCAGTGGCGTGATCTCAGCTCACTTCAACCTCCGCCTCCCTAGTTCAAGTGATTCTTCTGCCTTAGTTCCTATAGTCATGCACCACCACGCCTGGCTCATTTTTTTTTTTTTTTTTTTTTTGTAATTTTGAGTCAGCTCACCATGTTGGCCAGGCTGGTCTTGAACTCCTGACCTCAAGTGATCTGTCTGCCTTGCTCTCCTAAAATGCTGGTATTATAGTTATTTTTAGAAGAGATTACTGGTGAGCCACCACGCCTGACCAAATTTTCTTTTTTGAGACAGTGTCTCTCTCTGTTGCCCAGGCTGAAGTGCAGTGGCACAATCTCAGCTCACTGCAGCCTAGACCTCCCAGGCTCAAGCGATCCTCCCACCTCTGCCTCCCAAGTAGCTGGGACTATGGGCGTGTACAACTGCATCTTGCTAATTTTTTTGTAGTGATGGGATTTCACCATGTTGCCCTGGCTGATCTCAAATGCCTGTGCTCAAGGGATCCACCTGTCTTAGCCTCCCAAAAATGCTGGGATTGCAGGTGTGCACTACTATGCCCTGCTGAAATTTTTTTTACTTCCTACTTTAAGTAAAATGTCTCCCTCATTTTTTGGCAATTTGAATGGGCTAGAATTGATTTGTGTTGAATTTTTTTTTTGTGTTAGACAATATGGGATTACATGAAAGATGAAAGATTGCTACTTTGGGGCTAGGGTAATCAGGAAATTCCTCTCTTAGGAGGTGACATTTTGAGGTGTGAATGATGGGAAGGAGATAGCCATGTGAAGGTGTTTTCACATAAATGTTTTCACTTAATCCCCACCTCACCATGAACTGGATGATGTTCTCTCCATTTAGGAACAATGTGGCTTGGTAATTTAAAAGTGTGTGCATTGCAATTAGAAAAAAGAGAATTTGGGATGGTCATGGTGACTCCAGCACTTTGGGAGGCTGAGGTGGGAGGATCACTTGAGACCAGTAGTTCCAGACCAGTCTGGGCAACATAGTAAGACCCCATCTCTAATGGATATATATTAGCTAGATGTGGTGGCATATGCCTGTAGTCCCAGCTATTTGGAGGCTGAATTGAAAAGATTCCTTGAGCCCAGGTGTTCGAGGCTACAGTGAGCTGGAATCATGCCATTGTACTCCAGCCTGGGCAACACACCAAAACCCATCTCAAAAGGAAAAAGAGGGCCAGGTGATGTGATTCATGCCTGTAAACCCAGCACTTTGGGAGGCCTTAGAGGTGGATCACCTGAGGTCAAGAGTTCAAGACAAGCCTGACCAACATAGTGAAACCCCATCTCTACTAAAAATGCAAAATTAACCAGGCGTGGTGGCACACACCTATAATCCCAGCTACTCAGGAGGCCGAGGCAGGAGAATTGCTTGAACCCAGAAGGCGGGGTTACGGTGAGCCAACATAGCACCATTGCACTCCAGCCTGGGCAACAAGAACAAAACTCTGTCTCAAAAAACAAAAAAAGAGAGAGAAAAAAATAGAATTTATATCCTAGCTCAACCAGGTAGATATCAGCTAGGTAACCATAGACAAGTTACTAATCTCTGTAAGCTTTTGTTCTATTGGCTATAAAGTGGGGATAATACCACCTACCACTGCAAGCTTTGGAAGACAATTAGGTGAAATGATGTCTGCAAAGCACTGGGCATGTTCATAGACACTCAGTGTTAGTATCCTTCCCTCTTCTCTCACTCTGGTCTAGAGTGTAGATTTTGAGTTTGGTACATAATTAGGGGTTAATTAGCCAGGCATGGTGGGGTACACCTGTAGTCCTAGCAGCTTGGGAGGCTGACGCTGGAGAATCACCTGAACCTGGGAGGCAGAGGTTGCAGTGAGCTGAGATTATGCCACTGCACACCAGTCTAGGCTGAAGAGTAAGGCTCCATCTCAAAAATAAATAAATAAATAAGAAATAATGAGACATTACATAAAATTTATCAATACTAACAAAGTGGCATAACTGAAGCAATGAACCAGGCACGGTAGACACGCCCATAGTTCCAGCTGCTGGAAAGGCTGAGACAGACAGAGGCTCCCTTGAGCCCAGGACTTTGAGGCTGCAGTGAGCTTTGATTGGGCCACTGCACTCCACCCTGGGGAACAGAGTGAGGCCTTATATCAAAAAAACACAATGAAATAAAGCAGGAGAGGCCTGGGGCCAGAAATATGACTAGAACATGTCTGGAGAATTGCTTGTAAAGAACTGAAGTGTCTGAGGAAACAAGAAAAAAAAGTGTGTCAGTCGAATCAGACAGAAATAAATGAGCAGGTGTTGGCAGTGAATGGGACTGCAAAAGAAAGGAATAGGAAGTTACTTAAAAATTGTACATACTATTAGCCAGAAGATATAGGAAACAATTACTTCATCTGGGAGGGAATCCTTTAAGTCATCACTACCATGGAAACAAGCTAAATGTCCATCACTGGAGAGCTGGTTAAAAACACTGTGGTACATCCAATTAAGGTAATTCTAGGTGGCCTTTAAAAGAAGCTTCTGATGGGAACAAGCTGCATGGTAAATTGGTAAGTGAACAAGCATGGTGCACAGTGATGGTACTGTTTATGGAAGGGAGAAGAGAGTATATTACAGCTATCTGTGTTTAGGCTTGTATATCAATACACTCTCTTCCTGAATGTACTAAAAAACGAAATAAAAAACCAACAACCAAAACATATAGTGGCCCTGATGAAGGATACTGAAACTGCAGGACTCAGGTCAGCAGTGGGAGGTAAACTGACTTTTCACTGTACAACATTTTGAAGTTTTAAAATTTTATAGCACAGATATGACCAAAAAATTTTATTATAATTATTATTTTGAGACAGTCTTGCTATGTAACCCAGGCTGGAGTACAGTGGGATGTTCTCAGCTCACTGCAACATCCATCTCCCGGGTTCAAATGGTTCTAGTGCCTCAGCCTCTCGAGTAGCTGAGATTATTTGTGCGCACCACCATGCCTGGCTAATTTTTATATTTATATATATATTTTTTGAAAGAGAGTTTTGCTCTTGTCACCCAGGCTGGAGTGCATTGGTGCCATCTCAGGTTACTGCAACCTCCACCTCCTGGGTTCCAGCGATTCTCATGGCTTCGCCTCCCAAGTAGCTGGGATTACAGGTGCCCACCACCACACCCAGCTAATTTTTGTATTTTTAGTAGAGACAGCGTTTCAACATGTTGTTCAGGCTGGTCTTAAACTCCTGACTTCAGGTAATCCACCTGCCTCGGCCTCCCAAAGTGCTGGGATTACAATGATCTGCCCACCTCAGCCTCCCAAAGTGCTGGGATTATAGTTATTGTTAGAAGAGATTACTGGTGAGCCACCACACCTGGCCAAATTTTTTTTTTTTTTTTTTTTTTTTTTGAGACACGGTCTCACTTTCTTGCCCAGGCTAAAGTGCAGTGGCACTATCTCAGCTCGCTGCAACCTAGACCTCCCAGGCTCAAGTGATCCTCCCACCTCTGTCTCCAAGTAGCTGGGATTACAGGCGAGCACAACTGCTCCTCACTAAGTTTTTGAACCACCTCGCCTGACCTAATTTTTATATTTTTAGTCACTTTGTCAGCCAACCTGGTCTTGAACTTTTGGCCTCAAGTGATCAGCACACCTTGACCTCCCAAAATGCAGGGATTACAGGCATGGGCCACTGCGTCCTGGCCCCTCCCCCCAAAAAATTTCAATGGTTCAAAACAATTTTTTTTTAAAGTTAGAGCCACACTGCCCACAGAAGCCCATGTGGTGTGGGTGTAGGTAGCTCCTACAAAAAAAGGAAATAGAAGCAGTCATTTAAAAATATCCTAACATATTAGAGAAATATAAAGGCAGTGTGATATGCTAGATCAGAGCCCATGGGCTTTGGAGTTAGAGTGACTTGGGTCTTAATTCCAACATTCGCTAGTTTTGTGATGTTGGGCAAGTCAATCATCTTTTTGAGCCTTAGTTTTCTCTTCTGAAAACCACTTTGATCAAGTTATTGAAATAAGGACAATGTTTTCTTGGTATATAATATCTATTCAAAAATGGTGGCTATAAACATTTGCCTTTATTTCATTTGAACCAGGCCTAAGACAGTCAGTCAAGATACAAATTGCTTTTTTTATTAATTTATTTGTTTATTTATTTATTTTTGAGATGGAGTCTTGCTCTGTTCACCCAGGCTGGAGTGCAGTGGTACGATCTCGGCTCACTGCAAACTCTACTTCCCAGGTTCAAGCGATTCTCCTGCCTCAGCCTCCCAAGTAGCTGGGACTACAGGCATGTGCCACCATGCCAGGCCTGAGCCACTGCACTGGGCCCTAATTGCTTTTTTATTCCTTAGACGGAGTCTCACACTGTCACCCAGGCTGGAGAGTGCAGTGGTGTGATCCCGGCTCACTGCAACCTC